GGCACCCGCGCCCGCCCCCCCCCCCCCCCCCCCCCCCCCCCACCCCCCCACCCACCCCCACCCCCCCCCCCCACACCCCACACCCACACCCCCACCCACATCACCCACACTCACCCCAAAAAGTACTGTTAAGCACTAAGGATGTGAAATTTTATTCAAGATTGTTTTTAAAAGGTTAAGAAGTGTATTTCGAAATACAGCTCCACCACATAATGTGTAAATATAAAATGGCATTCCGTTGGCGACATATGTAAGAAGAATAAACAAATTATAGATTAATATCTGAATTGCATATTGTAATGATTTCTGTGGTGGATTTGATGTAAATGTTAAATGCAATCTAAATATAGCATGAGGACATGTCAATAAAAATAACAGAAAGACTTGCACGAGAAGCATTTTAATTAAATGCCGATCTAGTTTTCTTGCTTGCAATTGTCTATTTATAGTCGTTGATGCTATCGTATTCTTAAGATTCTGTTCTAAATTAGTCGTCATTTGTATACGAATTCGCGCATGATGGACGTTTTTAATAGTCATGAATCCAAAAATAATCATCAATAGCAATGGAAATAGTGTGGTACCAAATGCATAGAGCAGATCCGTGATCACACGACACATATATGTTGAAGCATAACATGGACGAGGAGGTGAAAGGTTATTGGCTTCAAAACAATAGAGTGTTGGAGCATTGAGAATACATGTATAAACGAGAACAACAAACATACTTCGCCGAGCATTTTTCATAGTACTCATTCGTCGTAACCTCACACTTGTACTGGATGTTAACCATCGATCAACGCTTGCTAAAACGATTAACCATAAGACTATTGTTCTTGAACAATAAAGGACAATACTTCGAACTTTACAAATCCATCCAATAGTCGCACTCAAATCAGCTACATAGCCAGACAGCATTTGAGCGATAAGACCACTAAAAATAGCAAGGAGTTCAGCGATTGATGAGAAATTAAAGAAAAGAGCAGATATATTTAAACGAAGTGTTGGTTGATTTAAGACAAAAACATTGAGAAGATTACCAATGATACCGAATATAAAGATAAAAATAGGAAAATAGCAATTGAGGAAATTTGATGCACTGCTCAACGATGCAATCATATTTACAGTTGTATTCGACGATGACATATTTTTAGTTGATACTGAATTAGAGTAGAACAAAATGATATGTTGTAGAAAAACGACGAATAAGCAAAAAAGTGCACGAGAATAAGCAAATTAATTTACTGTCACTCAAGCACGTAATTCTTTTTCACTCATTTCTGACTACTGTTGTGTTTACATCTATCATTAAAAATAAAAAAACTTTTTCATTACACTTCCTCTTGTATTTCACATCTAAACAAATGCTCTCTTGACATTTTCAAGGAATATTTTTGCAGATGTTTGCGTTTAAATGCAACTCATAGTCCACTAGACTCATAATGAACTGAAATCCGGATATCCTCATTCTTTTCAAAACGCATTTAATATTTTTTGCTAATACGAAGACATTTTTCCAAATAATTGCGCCTCATTAAAAAGTTTACATAGCTATAAATAGTATTTTAAGGCCAATACTGTCGTTTTTGTATTCTGCCACATTCAAAAATACAGACAAACTTTTTAACTGAAAAAGACTAGATGCTCGCTATAGAAGATTTAATTAAAAAACGATTCGTCATTTGCGACTTTTCTCTCATAGACAATGGAATGCGTGTTTTTGGTTTGAGTACACCTGCTTTTCCCATTGCTATAAATTATTTCGCCTAAAGGTTGGTATCAGTGTTCTCAAATTAGCGAATTCGAGTACGTGAATTTCATTTAAAAGCAAAATTCAACTTGGCATATGGCATATTTAGAAAACCTTTCTAAAAAATAATGTATTTTTGATATTCAGAACTTTCTAATACATCTAACGAGTCATTTTCAAATCTATCTTATCAGCTACCACGTGGAGCAAACGAAAATAAGTCCTTTTATATGAAAAAGTTTTGAACATCAATATTGATCTTTCATCTTCGCAAAGATATATTTCGTCTGCCCAATAAGAATACATGTAGAGAAAGTCGAGATACAAAAAACTTAATTGGTGTTTTGTGTAATTCTCATACACAACTAAACATCTTTTTATTTTTTTCTATTATGTCAGTTATGTAACACTCGGAAGTGTTTCCATGATGGTGTAAGAAGAG